TGGTTCCTTGCCATCTTCCTCACCTCATTCACTTCCTTTCTTGCCTTCCCAATAGCTTCCATAGCATTTTTTAGCTCGTCACCCCCTTTTCTCTTCTTCTTTTTATGTGTGTCTTTCTTGCATCCATCCGGTCTTTTTGGCTTGGAGTACAAAAGCGAGTTTGGTGTAGGGCTTCTCTTGCCGTCATCACTTGATGCCTCCTCCTCATCATCATCCAAATCAATAGTTTGCTTGTGCTTGTTGCTCTCATCATCATCGATAGCATCACGGGGCTTCCATTTTTCATCACCCTTCAATTGTTCATAGCAATGAGGCAAGGTAAATGGTCTCTCTTTCTTGATCTTTCCTTTCTTGGTCTTCTTCTCCTCTCCTTGGAACAAGTTTTGTGCAATATTGAGCTACAAACAAAAAAACAAGTTAGCACTAGAAACACCAAGAAGACGCATGATGAACATGGAAGGATCACGAAAGAAATGGCACTTACCCTATCTATATCATTAGTGCCACTTGGGTCAACTTGTCAACCGCCTTAAGTGCGGCCGCCCACCTTTGACAATCTCGGTTGATTGTCGACCACCGAGAGCGAAGAGATCTTCCGGGGCGGTCAATTCCACTTTTGTTGTGTACATTAAAGTGTTCCTTCATCCGGAGCCAATATGTATCTCTACTTTGATCCCCTCCAATGGAGGGATCCCTCGACACTTGCAACCAAGTATTGCATAGCAAGATGTCTTTATCCATGATGTAGTTGCCCCCTCTTCCTTTCGGTGCATCGACGATGCCCTCACCATCTTCGTCCATCTCAAACTCATGATCATCAAAATGCATCTCATTGGTTTGAGACCAATGAGAATTATTGAAGCCAACACCCATCTTGAGATATATGCCTCATCATTAAAACTACAAAGTATATACAATGAAGCAAATAAGCTATCCATATGTATGCATTCAAACAACAACAACAACAACAAAAAGTTGGCGAAATTTTACCTTGTGGGCATTTCATCGAACACCTTGTGCGTGTCGGCCGCCAGCTCAACAAGTGAGCTCGCCGACGCTTCTGTCGCCGCCGCATCCGTCGCACGCCCTGCAAGCTTCTTCCTCTACGGCCTAGAGGAGCCGTCCGCCGCCTTGTTCTTCTTCGCGGATACCTTGCCCTTCTTCGACCGCGCCGCATTTGGGAGCTTCAAGAGGGGGGCACGTGGCTTCACGGCGGGCGCCGACACGACACCACCCGCCGCCGTGGTCGTCCGTGGCGGCATGAAAAGGCCGCGCTCGACGCCGGTGCTTGGAGGAGCACCGGCGGAGGCGGAGGCGAAGCCAAAGCTCCCCGCGCTAGGG